TGGACATATTGAACCCGTGTTTTAGCGCCACTCAGTGGACATTTCTCTTTGAAACTGCGGCGAAACGTGCAGTAAGGTACATAAAAACGGTGTTGCAGAAATGTACACAGAGGTACGTATTTTTATGAGACTGGGTTGCATACTTTTTGGGAGGGGCATTATTTACGTGCTGGAGGGTATGAAATGTCACACAATGCATGCTAATTATTGTTTTAATGATTAGAGATCAGGAGTCAATGCTTTTAGAAACAACTAGAGTTGATCGCTAACTAGGTGAGACACATGACAAGTGACAATAGCATTTAAAAAATAAATTAATTAAAATATAAGTGCTTTTATCGAATTGTCAGTTGTCAGCATGCAGAGAAATGTAGAATGAATTCCAGGGCAATGTTTTGTTCTTCCAAAATGGCAATTTACATATCAGCCTGTTTCTAGCAGCAGAGTCGCAGCTGTTTGTCTTCAGCTGGTCCAATGACAAGCTCAGCTCTGATATAATTTTGCATCTGCAGAATATGCACATCTTAAATTAAAATTTCATCCTTTTTTCCATCTGTTTGTTTTCTGTTCAGTTTATTGTATGTATTATAGTCAAAATTACAGGGTAGCAGTTATTGTGGTGTTGCTTGACTCAGCATTATTAATTTTGGGCAATGCAATTACTGTGTAATCACATCTAAGCTCATTAGTTCATTTTAAGAAGAAAAAAAAAGGTGATGCATCTTATTTTCTCCCTAATGAACACTATGTACAAGGATGTGTAATATTGAATGTGATAGTACATGTGTTACACATATTACTTGTGTTACAAGTATTGTACGTTTTACACAAATTACAATTGTATTGCAAATCGTATGCATGTTACACATATTACAAGTGTTACATTTATTACATGTACAATATTACAAGTGTTACAAGTACTAAATGTTTTACAGGTATTACAAGTGATGTGTATTTAACTTTTCTCAAACATTTGTGTACAAACTTACGATTTTAACCAAATGAATGGCAGATGGGGCTTATTTGACTATGCAACACCCTGAAATGACTCAGAACATCCATATACCAATATACTAAAAAAGTGCTCAATAGATTTTAGCCACTGTGTAACTCTCTAGCAACATAGTGTGGAATTAGCTCAGGCAAGCATCACTTTCAGAGTCGTGCTGGACTGTTCTCAAGGTTAGTGCGGTCACTGTATTAAATTACCATATAGATGTCATATTAGATAACATATCTTGTATCTCATCAATACAACTGACTATAGACTGGAGTCATCTTGGAGGCAAAACAATATTCAGGTCATGTGGTTGCCCATTTTGACTGTGACCTCTGACACTCGTATAACTCATCTTGATGTTTCAATGGTGCATCATTAAACTCTGTTGTGTTTCCTTAGTGATGGCTCTTTATTGCAACTTCATGTGTCTCTGTTGTTCTTTACTGATCGATGTAGACATTTATTACTCTCTGGAATACTTATTTATGATTTAAAATATTTTAGCATAATGATGTTTATACAGTATATGTTTTATAACGATGAATGATTTATCTAGTCAACTTATTTATATAAATTTTATGGATAAATAAATAAATTATGGATAAATATATAAGCTAGAGTAATGACTGATTGTGTCTGGAAAAATAGCGGTATGAAATAGATATTTTAATAATTTATTAATAAACTAGCGCTTCCTGAGTCAGTATCAGCTGCAAAGATGAAGTTAGCAATGCTTATTCGCCATGTTCGCATAGAAAAAAAAAAGTACCTTACATACGAATTACATAATCAGAGAGCATTTGTTTTTTTTTTAAGTTCATAAAAAATAGGTATTTTCAAGCTTTCTCTAGATATATGACTCATGCCTGAGGCAAGTAGCCTTTACGCTGAGCTTCGGTTCATTTCTGTGACACGCTCCAGTTCATGGAGATCGAGACAGCAGAAAGCACTTCTTATTTTTTTTTGTTTTTTCTTTATTTTACAAAAGACTCGTTGCCATTTCAAATTATTTATTACCCTAATCTCTATGAGCAAAAATGGTGTGTTATAAGCTGTTTCCACCATTATCAAGAAAAAAAATTCAAGCAAATCGCACTGGTGCCTCTATGTCCTATAATCATGCTAACAGCTTCAACACTCCACACAAACACTTGGATATGCACCTAATAGCACACATTTATCTGTTTAACATTTATAGGGTAACGTTGGAGCGAATGGCCATGTAAAGTTCAATTTTGCTTCATTGAAAGCTTATTGTATTACTGTATTAAAAGCTTACTGTATTATGTAGAGTTGAATATTATGAGAGGGAGATGGACTGGTTATGTTAAAGGAGATTTCTGATGACAGCGCTGCTCAGTCCATTTGCTGATTCCGTCTTACAAGGTGCTGTCGAAAGTAAAAATATTGTCCTTGTTTACAGCCCTGTTTAAAGGTTTAAAGGACACAACAAGCTGAATTCAAGGAACACGCGGCGACGAAAGCCAACACTATTGTCGCCTTGTTTCGGCTGCATCTGGACCATAAAGCTGCGCTTGAACACAACGCACTACACAGTAAATTGTGCAGTGTTAAATTAACTCTATAAGAGTTGAATTTAACACTCGGCCCGAGTGTATTTGGTCCCACTCAGAATTGGTGATAAATTGACTCTTGTCATAGTGTTAAATTTTCAGAGTTAAATTAACTCTATTTTGAGTAAAAAATTAACACTGCTCAACACTGAATAATGTTACCAGAGTTTAACGCTAGGGGAAATTAACTCTGTTCTGTATTACCACAATTTAACTCTGCAGGAAAATTTACTCTGATTAGTGTTAATATTTCACTTATGTAGAGTTCATTTACATTTATAATAGTGAAAAATTATCTAATTTTAAAACCCATTTGGTGTTTTAAAAACAGAATAGAAAACAAGATCAACGACGTCACATTTAAAACATTTATTAAAAAATGTTGTCAGGCTCAAGAAACATAATATTTCATGCATCAGAGGGTTAATTTCCAAAACTAATGAAACTATTTATTTATTTTATTGCATATTCTTAAAAACAGAAAAACTCAATGAGTTTATTGTGTCATTAAAAATCTTAGTCAGTTTTCCTCATGTCTAAAGCAAAGAATAGACTGTGAAATCCTATTTTAAATGATCAATCAAGGAACCGGTTGCACAAAAAAATGCATGTACAAGCTGAAAGAAAGCCTTTGAGGGTGTTATGATTGGGATTAAACATTTCTGCTCAGACAACAAATATTGTATCATTTGCACTTTAAAATTGCATTCACCATATCTGATACTTTGCTCATCTCTGTTTCTGAACCCTGCTATGAATCATTTTGCTGCTGTTTATGTAACTGAGAAAAATGTTTAAAGTACATTTTTTTTCGAAGCCTGTACATTAAGCCTCTTTTCCTCAAGTAAAGAAAAGAGTGCTGCTTAGCGTCTGCATTCTGTCCGCTGCTCACTTGCAGCATTGTCTGATAAATATTAAAGCCTTGAGACAAGTCAACTGTGTGCTCCTCAGCAGTAAAAAAGTATCAGTATAGTGTCCTCTCTGAAGAATTTCTATCTAATCAAATTATTGTTTCTTTATTTTCTGTCAGGGCTGTACAAAGCAGATTCTACACAGTAAATTTTGCAGTGTTAAATTAACTCTATGAGTTGAATTTAACACTCGGCCCGAGTGTATTTGGTCCCACTCAGAATTGGTGATAAATTGACTCTTGTCATAGTGTTACATTTTCAGAGTTAAATTAACTCTATTTTGAGTAAAAAATTAACACTGCTCAACACTGAATAATGTTACCAGAGTTTAACGCTAGGGGAAATTAACTCTGTTCTGTATTACCACAATTTAACTCTGCAGGAAAATTTACTCTGATTAGTGTTAATATTTCACTTTTGTAGAGTTCATTTACATTTATAATAGTGAAAAATTATCTAATTTTACAACCCATTTGGTGTTTTAAAAACAATAGAAAACAAGATCAACGATGTCACATTTAAAACATTTATTAAAAAATGTTGTCAGGCTCAAGAAACATAAACATACATGCACAAAAATACATCACGTCTGCTTGAAATGACAATACATAACTATATTCAGTACAGAACCTGTTGAACCTACTAGCTAAGCAGCCTTGCTCTAACCTCAGCGATACAAGGACCTTCACTTTGCCAACATCTTTGTTGTACACAGTTTTCTGAATGAAAGTGTACATCTTGTGTAGAATAGTGTTATAAGTGGTGCCAAAAACAAAGTGTGCCTTAAGAAGTTTGTTCACCAAAAAATAGAATTCTCGTTAATTACTCACCCTTATGTCATTTCAAACCTATAACACTTTTGTTCATTTTCGGAACACAAATGAAGATATTTTTAATGAAATCTGGCAGACTTTTATCCTTTCATTGACAGCCTATACAACTAAAACTTTCAAGGCCCAGAAAGGTGTTAAAGACATCATTAAATTAACCCGTGTGACTCTGGTGATTTAACTAGCAACACTAGTGCTTTGTTTGCGCAAAGAAAAAAAAAAAACACTTTATGAAAATATGAATCTCTGACAAGCGTACACGAGAGCACGACGACGGATGAATGTTTTGTTGAAATGAAAGCAGACGTTGTGTGAATGCATGCATAAAATTGAGGTTAAACCACTAGACGCAAAAAGCCAAAAAGCAGCATGGCTAAAAAGCGATGCTGCTAAAAGCACATAACTAAAAAGCATAGACTAAAAAAAAAGCAGTGATTTGATGGTGTCCTGAGTATTTAAACTGGGCTTTTGGACTCTTAAGGGTGGTCTGATACCCTACATGGGTTACTTTAATGAATGTCATTACTACCTTTCTGAGCCTTGAATGTGCTAGTTGCGTGGACTGTCAGTGTAGGGACAGAAATCTCTCAGATTTAATTAACATATCTTCATTGGTGTTTTGAAGATGAACGAAAGTCTTACAGGTTTGGAACGGCATGAGGGTGAGTAAATGATGACAGAATTTTTATTTTTTGGGTAAATTAACCCCATTAAACAGTTTGTCAAAGGCATCAAGAGAAGAGACTGACTTGCATGGAATGGCATACTGATCAAAACTGAAGTACTGGTGAACTGAATAATTCTTCCCAGATCCAGGAGACAGGGCTGAGCACTTCCAGCAATGCCTTGAAGATGCTCCTCAATGCTTGTTCCACTCTGAAAAAAAAAATAGTAGAGGACTATCACTGATATGTAAAATAAAAAAATAAAAAAATTAATAAATTAAAACAAACCTTCTAGAAGATATCCCTACTTGAGACGTAGACACCTTTCCTAGTCTCTTCTGGCCTTGACAAGACACAAACAACAAGCATTTTAAGATCATCAACACTGCTTAAAGAATGCTATATGAAGTTAATCCTTAGTCACAGTTAATGCAACTCAGTAGCTACAAAACTGCTGTGAAAAGTGGCACAATGACATTTCTCTTTTCATTTTGTACCTTCAAATTATATTCCTCGTTAGAAATGCCTCTCTGTATAGTTTTGATTCTCCATAGCAAGTATCCGGTGGCACTCTTACCAACATAGTAATGCTTCATAGAAAGACAAAAATACAGAAAAAGGAGAAGAAAAAGTGTTTTAAAATCCAAGAGAAGAATACATCACCTGTATTATGGGCATGCGATCAAAACATTTAAAAGTTGTCAACAATTCATTAAAACTAAAACAAAAACAGTGCGATACTTACATAGCCATTTTTGAAGAAGGGGACACTGAGGTACGGGAACAAAGGCACAATTCCTCTGGCATAGTTTTCGTTCACCTTCCTTGGTGGTGATGTACTGCAAAGCTTGTTACTTAAAAAAAAGAGAAAGATAATATGTTAGTTCTGTGCTATGACATGCCAATAACAGTCACTCCTAATAAACAGGCAACATTTTAAAATGCGTTACTTGTACCAGCACTTACATGTACCGCTCTGATCAGGCCAACTAACTCTGTATGTCTAACAGCAATAACGTAAAATAGTTGTTCGTGGTACCGTAATCACTGCATAAGGTTAACATAATGAAAACAAAGACGCGGCTGTTTTTAAATGAGATGTTCTGCCTTCCCCATTGGCTTCTTCTTCGCGCAGCGTTGAGCCAAGTTAACGCTAATCCCACAGCGTCATCTATGTGGCTTCAATAAATATGCAATGGCGGCTAATTCATCTAATTAATTAGACTAATTAATGACATTGGAAACATTTAGTCTTTCGTGAGCTGAACAGTAGCAAATATAGCGTTTATATAACATTCCAATGGTTTACATAACATCATATAATTTCTATAAAAATGTGTCAGCTTATGCCCCATTGTGACGTTACATAATTACACGTTTAAAAAACAAATTAAGCGGATATACCAAAGCTAAATACAGCTGAAAATCAAATTAAGTAAGATTACTGACATCATTTAAACTTTATCATTACCACATTGAGATGAAAAAAGCACATTTCTCCAACATACTGACTTGCCTATTCGATATTTCCGAGTTTAAACCAATCAAATTACACAAAGTTAAAAAAAAATTATGCATTAATAGTAGCACAATTATTAATAAATTATAGAACTTTTGCTCTGGTCTTCAGGGTTGGCTTGAGGGGCGGAGCTTAACAAAGTAAAGTTAACAATGCAGAATTCAACTCTGATCATTTTCACCAACACTAGGGGGCATTTTTCACTATTTGTTGTTAAGTTAACTCCTTAAGAGTAAATGGAGAGTAACACTGCTTAATTAACACTGTCTATTTTACTGTATATAGACCAAGGGTGTCCAAACTCGTTCCTGGAGGGCCAGTACTGTCCGGCAGACTCTTGGACCGAGTTTGGACACCCCTGCTATAGACGACTGCAAACTAGCACATGCGTTCTGTTTATATCAGTAGGCATCAATAGTGTATATTCGTCATTCAAAAGGATAAACCGAAACAAGGATATATGAGATAAACACAGATATATAAAATGGAAACAAAGCAGCACTTGAATATCAGTTATGTTGATAAATAACTTAATTTTAAGTGGCTCATGATATTATGCAAATATCTCCATATTGTAATGTTTGGGTAAGATAACGTAAAATTAGCACAGCCTTCTGTTTGTGTCATCTTGACTCATTTTTATCACTTACACTTTAATTCTCATGAACTGATTGGTTTGTTAAACTGAACATCTAATCAGAGTTCTCACTCTCACCGATGGCCCCAACATAGATTCAGCATGTTGAATCGGGAAAACTGCCACCGATTTGAGCTTGACGATAGCCAACGTGTGGAACACGCCAAAAAAAATGAACCCGACAGATGCTCGCCGACGGCCTGACGTTGGACGATGGCCGACCGCCAGCTTGGTGTGTCCCAGCCTTCAGTCTCTTTCAATATAAAAGTCTTTACTGCAGACTCACTCATAAAAACAGTGTCTTGTCGCCATCTAATGATGTAACAATGCAACTAAAATCACCATCACAAACACACACCATTTATCAATACCAAATACTATTATTAAATACTACTATCATTTTTTGAATAATGATATTTAATACACACCAACAGCCATCATATCAGTTGCTAAGAAATTCAGTCAAGAGTACAAAGGCATTCTCTGATATACAGTTATATAAAATGTAACACTATGAGACTTTACCCTCAGCCAAAACTATTTGCTCTGGGACAAATTATAGATTAATGAGACTAAAGACTGCCCGTTAGATTTAGCCAAAACAAATTATATCTCATGTTTAACCACTATAGAGACATCAGAGCTGGTGGCAAATTGCCAAAGAATTGGCCGAGGTAAGGCTGCTCTCTGCAGGTTCGCGCTGAACGGCCACTGACGCTCTGGAGCTCCGAAAACATTGAAGCAAATTTCAAACAACTCATACATTCTCACCTAAACTCATAAAACTACATTATGTGACACAACAACAGTAGTATGTGTAAGATTAGAGTGGATTTGGTCATCCACTATGACACTCGCTGTAAGAAATGCTGTGATACAACAGTGAAATGGTTGCATGCCAATATTCTGTGAATATTTCATGTTTAGAAAGACATCTCAGCCAAGCAGCAGAAAGAACCTTATTCTTGAGGCCCTCTTGAGACAACTTTTACAACAGTTTGAGCACAATAGGTTAATGACCCCTAGAAACACTATCACATTATTACAGTTCTCATCTCAGCAATTTTCCGCAACATATCCATTGCTTTTACTCCCACCTTGTTATAAGCTCAGAGGAATCACACAATGCATCTTTCACATGTATTCTTCATTATATATATATATATATATATATATATATATATACTGTGTATATATA